TTCGCTTTCCCAAACCAATGCGAGCAAGCCCGCCGCAGGCGCCGATTTTCGTGCTCTGACAAGTTCAGCGCGGGGAGGATCGCTGGTGGGCCACCCGGAACGAATGGAAAAGAAACCCGCCGCAGGCGCCGAATTCTTGGCTTGTTCAGTGAACGCAGTTTTGGTCGCGGGTGCGCGGGCTCTCCACCTCCACCTGGAAGGAATTCAAACACAGCCCGCCGCAGGCGCCGAAAATATTGATTTATACACTAAACGCGGTTTGGGTCGCAGGTTCTCCACCTGGAACGAGTGCAAAAGAAACCCGCCGCAGGCGCCGAAGTTTTGGTTTGTTCAGTGAAAGTAGTTTTGGTCGCGGGTGGGTCGCGGGCTCTCCACCTTCACCCAGAAGGAATTCACTCACAGCCCACCGCAGGCGCCGAAAATTTGATTTGTACACTGAGCGTGGTTTGGGTCGCGGGTGGGTCGCATGTTCTCCAGCTGGAACGAATGCAAAAGAAACCCGCCGCAGGCGCCGAAAATTTTAGGTGGGTCGCGGGGTGGGTCGCGGGTGGGTCGCGGGTGAGTCGCGGTGGGTCGCGGGTGGTCGCGGGGTGGGTCGCGGGTGGGTCGCGTTTGGGTCGCCGGTGGGTCGCGGATGGGTCGCCGGGGGGGGCTCGGGGTGGATCGCGGGCGGGTCGCGGGGTGGGTCGCAGGTGGGTCGCGGGTGGGTCGCGGGGTGGGTCGCGGGATGGGTCGCGGGTGGGTCGCGGGGTGGGTCGCGGGTGGATCGCGGGTGGGTCGCGGGGTGGGTCGGGGGTGGGTCGCGGGGCGGGTCGCGGGTGGGACGACGACAATAACAAACAATAAACAACAAACAACAAACAACAAACAACAAACAACAAACACAACAACAACAGCAACAACAACAACAACAACAACAACAGCAACAACAACAACAACAACGACGACAACGACAACGACAACGACAACGACAACAGCAACAACAATAATCCGCATTGTGGAATTTCACTTCAGCCACGCACCCAGGAACAGTGAATGACCGTTCGGTCAGCCCCCTCACTCTGACTATTCTTCTCTCCGGTGGAGGCAGCGCGCGACTATGAAAATGACGGCGACGAGGATGATGACGACATCGGCGGCGACAAGGACAACGACGACTAGAACGACGATATCGAAGACGACAACGACTGCAAGGACGACGACGACGAATACGACGACGACGAATACGACGATAACGACCACAACGACGACGACGAGGTTTGGAGCAGATCCAGAGAAGCGTGGAGGAGGGGGTAGCGTCCGAAACCCCACCCCCACCCCCCTGCAAAAGGGAACCTCGGCTTAACCCTGGCTTCGAAAAAGGGCGGGGGGGTAGCTTCGGAAACCCACCCCTTTGACCTGCGGGCCCCCTGCTCCGCAAAAAGAATGCTGAAACCCGCCCCCTTTCGAAAAGGGAAGCCCCGACTCACCTGGAGGCCAGAAGAGAGGGGGAGCCTAGCTTCCGAAGCCCCACCCCTTCACAAAGTGGGGGGTAGCCTCTGAAGCCCCTCGCCCCCGCCTTGCAACTGAGAGCCCCACCTTGCCTCCCGCTTCGGAAAGGAGGGAAGGGGGGGCGTAGCTTCCGAGGCCCCCCCGACTAATCAGACAGGATGCCCAGCTTTCCAGAGGGAGCGGGGACCCCACCGCTTTTGTAGGAAGGGACTAGGGGGGGGGGGTTGCTTGAAGCTGCGCCCCCCCTTTTAGTCGTCCCGGCCCACGTGGCGCGCTCCTTCCTAGACTTGGTAAGCCATCCAACATTGCACGACCACCGCGCGCAGTCCCGAAACTCGAGACGTCAAACAGATACGTGGATGAACGGCGGGTAGTTTTAAAATGGTGGCTCTTGCCAGAGCGACGCGAACACTCGCCTTGAAAATCTGGTACTTTCACGGACAGGAGCATTTCTGCTCTGAATCTGGCTCTCGATATGGCGCCTCACCAATGCGCCTGGAAAGCTCCCAAAACCTACACTGCTGGAGGGCGACCGTTTTCAAAATGCGGCTCTCGTTCTATCGCCGCACACATTCGTCTGAATAGCTTCCGGCAATTACACGGTGGACGAAGAAGCGTCATCAACATGCAACACCCGCCTGGATGCCATGTTTCCATTGTATTTCCCAATGCATGCACATATGGAGGGCGACTCGTCTTGACGAAATGGTTCCCGCCTTAGCGCAATGCACATTCGCCTCACACCTGCACAACAATCCGACATGGGTCTTTCGCTTGATACGTCCTCGAACTGCGGGACCGGAACTCTAACCTTTGGCGCATCAACCACACAAGTTTCACATCGGGTATATCGCTGGACTTCCTTGAGCCTGAACTGATTCGGCATCCCGAACTTGCGGCTGGACGTCTCCTCAACATTCCGTGAACCGGTATCCGCCTCCGTGTCTGCACGAATTGGGCGTGTTAGAATGATAATATGTTGTCTTGGAGGTTTCCGTTGTTTTCTAACCGCCCCCTCCCCCCCTTACGCGCGTCGTCGAGAAATCGCCCTCTGGGGGATTGATTTGGCCTTTTCGGTCTCTGCACGGCCAAGATGGCCTCAATGACGGTTTCTCAGAACGTCAAGACGACACCAAAACGGCTCCAGATGGAGCAAGATGGCTCAAGAGGCTCTGAAGACGGCTCAGGACAGCCCGAGAAGCTCCCAAGATGGGCCAAGAAGGCTCCAAGAGGCCCTCCAGGGAAGCCCATGGAGGCCAAATTCGATACGTAATCTTCCTCACGTTTTTGAAGGAATTTGAAATTTACCGCCTGCTTGGGTGTCCGACCGCCCCAGACGGCCCAAGGGGCTGCCAAGATAGCTCCAAGGGAGCTCTTGAGGCCCCCAAGAGTCGGCCCAAGACGAACACAAGATCGCCCAAGAGGTTCCTAAGAGGGCCCCAAGACAGTCCTAAAGCGCTCCAAGAGGGCGCCTAGACGGCCCAGAGAAGCCCCCAAACCAGCCTCCGAAGGCGTCTGACGGGCCAATCACCTCCATACGACAGCACAAGGTGCCCCAAGAGGCCCCCAGGAGGCCACAGGAAGATCCCAACAGGCCCCCAAGAGGCCCCTCGAGTTCAAGACACGTCCTTATCAGACCACTCGTCGAAATTGCGATGTTCCTACGCTCCGTATCCTTCCTGTAGCGCTGGTGCACAGGCACGGTGGTGGAATTTGCCGCAGGCAATGGGATACACATGCGTATACGTGTATACATAAGAACATGCGTACACATTACGGCCATACAAATCGGGAAGTCCTCATGACTAGGAGGACGGAAATTGAATTTACAAAGCATGGATATATCCTGAATGGCGGGCCCATGGTTCATCCGTCTTTCAAGGAGGCGCGTCTCGCACTGAAAGGGAAATGAACAAGGACACAGGTGGACAGCTGCGAGAAGGGGGTTAGGAGTGCGGCTTGCAGCTTGCAGCATCGCTGATGCATGTCGGCATTGCCTTCCTCCTCCTCCTCCTCATCATCATCATCAGCATCATCATCATCATCATCATCATCATCATCATCATCATCATCAGCATCATCATCATCATCATCATAATCGTCATCATCATAGTCATCACCACCATCATCACCATCATCATCACCATCATCATCAGCATCATCATCAGCATCATCGTCACCATCATCCACAACATCATGATCAGCATCGCCATCATCAACATAATCCTCATCATCACCTTCATCATCATCACCATTATCAACATCATCAACATTATCACCATCATTTCATGATCATCATCATCATCATCATCATCATCATCATCATCATCATCATCATCATCATCATCATCATAATCATCATCGTCGTCCTCTCTCCTCCCTGCTTCATCCATTCCTCCTCCTCCCTCCTCCCCGAATGAGGCAAGAGCCAATAATGGTCAGTTCGGCCGGCATCGCCGACTCATCGTTGATGAGACGTCAGCATTAAAGTTAAAGAACATCGGGCTCGTGGCTGCATCGACATGCATCGGCAACGCGGCGCTATCCTCCGACCCCGTCTCCCCCGACCCCGCTTGGGAGGACTGGCCACGCACTCTACACATGAGTCTCGAAGATAATGATCAGAGCGCATCTAAGCGAAATGGCGCTGAGGCCAAAATCAATGAAGAGCTTTCCACCCGTATGCGACTGCGACCCTCGTCGTGACACCCCGCCGACCGTCGCTCCAGCCCTCCTTTCCCGAGGCTGTCGCGACGCGGAGCCTCTTCACCGACCCCCCTTCCTATTCCATGCCCTCCCACTTCTCCTCCTCCTCCTGCTCATCCTCCTCCTGGCTCCCTCCCTCCCCTCCCGCTGTCGCGCATGCCCCTCCATTCCCTGTCCTGGTCCCTCCCCACCCACGGCCCATACCCTGCTCCCGTGACCCGTCTCCCTCCCCGATCCCGGCCCACTGCCCTCCTGTCTGCGAGGAGGGCGCGGCAGACGCCGCATTCCTTCCGCTACCCCCCCCAGAAGAGCCCATGGCGTTCGCCGTCTCCACGTTCGGTGGCAGGAGCTGCCAGGTGCAGTCCTGGAAGCGAGCGTAGCAGCAGCCGAAGGTGGCGCCCAGAAGCGCGGAGATGATGTAGAAGGCATTGATGCGCGCCTCCTGGCCGGCACGGTGGGAGACAAGCCCGGAACGAAACGCGCGTAGGACTGGAGGCTTTCAGCGGGAGCCGCGCTCCATCCCGTGTCCTTCCTGACGGCCCACTGGCCATCGCTCGGGCGTCCATTCCGTGTTTTTGTTCCGGTTTCGTGCGTGTTTTTTTCGCCACATGATCAAGGATGCTCCTCGATGGTCCTCGCCGACGGAAAAAATGCACACGTCCGAGCGATGCCAAGCCCAGGGGGCCCAGGAGCGGGCCCCCGGTGGCCGGGAACGGATCTACAACAGCTCGGACAGCGGCTCCTCGGGACCCCCCTCTGCCTCGGGACCCCCTCTTGTCTCCACCGCGGCCTGGGTCGGGAAGAGGTACACGAAGGGCATCAGCAGGGCGGCCACCCCGAAGCCGATCACCGACGCCGCCGTCACCCGGAAGCTGTTCGCCCGGACCTCGGTGAAGGCGCTGGTGCGCCCGGGGGTCTTGGGCGCCCGCGGGGCGAGCACCGCGTTCAGGGCCGCGGCCACCGCGGCGCTCAGGAAGAAGTCGGTCGAGATGAGGCTGAAATTAGGGGAACAAAAAGTGGCATAAACTGAAAAACTCGGAGGTCCGCGCGGATTTCTCGGATCGGCGCTGGGGCCCCCCGGCGGCGCCTCCCGCGCCGCCCCTGGTGCGCTCCGCGCGCCGGGGAGGGGGGTACAGCGCCGATCCGAGAAATCCGCGTGGACCTCCGAGTTTTTATTTTTATGTCACTTTTTGTTCCCCTAGAAGTGCATCTGGAGGCTGATCCTCTCCTGGATGCCCACGAGGTCCCGCAGCATGAGCAGCAGGAAGAACATCGGGGCGGAGCCGCAGCTGAACACGAAGATGCACACGCACGCGAGCGGGAAGCCGCCCTGGAACTGGGAGGGCCTGACGTACGCGTCGATGCACGATTGCAGGACGAGGGGGGGCCCAACGCAGGCACCGCTCCCGCCACGCTCCGAAACGTCAACTCTCGTATCCCGTATCCCCCCACGGGCGGCGCTTGGCTTTGGCCTCGTCTTCGGTGGTGCGCCCCGCTCGCTGTCGTGTCGCGTGCTCTGCCTTCGGTCTCGTCGAGTCGTGCGTTCTCGCCTTTCCCCACTTCCACTGCCCGTCCACTGTTCTTTCTCGGCGCGCCCAGTTGAGTAGGTCCGCGCCTCCTGCATCCCCCCCCCCACCGTTCCGCTCCCAACCCCAGGCTCTCCCCCTCCCGCTCGGCTCCCCGACTGGGCATCCTGCCCCCCAGACCCCATCTGGCTCCGCATCCGCCCCCTCCTCTCGCCTCTCCTGGCTGCCCCGCAGGCCCGGAGCGAACTCCCGAAGCAGGAGATCTCTTGTGGAGGTCCGCGCGGACTTCGCCGGCCGGCTCTGGCTCCCCCCTCCTCACTCCTCCTCCTCCTCCTCCTCCTCCTCTCCTCCCTCCTCCTCCTCCTCCTCCTCCTCCTCCTCCTCCTCTCCTCCTCCTCACTCCTCCTCCTCCTCCTCCTCCTCCTCCTCCTCCTCCTCTCCTCCTCCTCCCCTCCTCCTCTCCTCCTCCTCCTCCTCCTCCTCCTCCTCCTCCTCCTCCTCGCTCCTCCTCCTCCTCCTCCTCCTCCCCCTCCCCCTCCTCCTCCTCCCCCCTCCCCCTCCTCCTCCTCCTCCTCCTCCTCCCCCTCCTCCTCCTCCCCCCCCCCGCCTGGCAACCCGTTCCCTCCTCTGGCACGGCCCTGTCCCTGCCGTCGCTCGGGCGTCCACTCCCCGTGCCTTGTTCGGCTCCGTGCGCTCATTTGTTCGCGCAGGCTGGTCCAAGATGCTCCTCGACGGATCCTCGCCGAAAACGGCGCACACGTCCGAGCGGTGCCAAGTGTCATCCCAGATAGTTATCTGACGGCCCTGGGGCCCGACAGTGGTCACCAGGATGCAGAAACCTGTCCAAAACACCGTCCGTCGCATGTTCCCCAGAGCGAGGGGGGCCCCAGGGGGGCCCAGTTCTGGTCCCCGTCCCCAGGGGAGGGAAAATTGAGGGGGGGACTGGCCCAAGGGGGAACATCGAACTTGAACCGGCAATACGTCGCCGATAGATCGGCGAGTGGCCCAAGATGGCGAAGTCGCACGCTTCTGTGCGGGGTGGGCCATCAGGCGCCTGTCCGTGCTCAATCGGCGATTGGGGGTCGATGCCTCCCCCGCCCATGAGCCTTCGGTCGGGAACTTTCGCTTGGCGTGTCGCGGCGGCAGCCCCGACGACACACAGTGCCCGTCGAGCCGATCGTGCGCCGCTCCGCTCCGCGGGGCGAGAGGCTGGGAAGGAGCTCAGGACCTTGACGCTCAGCAGCGGGGACGTGGCTAGCGCGTCGCGCCGAGGCGTGGTGGGCCAGGACCAGCAGCGCGGCACGCTAACCATCCGTTCGCGACCGCAGCGCCCCCCTGTCGGCGCCCCATGGCCCACCCAGCTCCTCGCCGCCTCCATTCGAAGGCCTCCGAGGGGCTCCCACGGCTCCCGAACGGCCCCCGAACGGCCTCGCGTTGCGGGGGCGGCGCCCTCCTCCGGCCCGCCCCCGAAGGGCTGCTGCGACAGGCTGGCGCGGCGGGCCGCGATCCGCGGAGAGTCGTGGCTGATGAGCAGCAGCGGCGGGACCGCGCAGGCGAACATCATAACCTCATGGGCCCTCTGTAGGTGGCGGCATCCGACATCTGGCCCCGCCAAGCATCGATTCTCCTGAATCGATGGGAGGCGGGGGTACGGTTCGGATCTCGACACGTGTTCGACGAATTCCGAACACTACCAAGTTGCCGAAATCGTTGATTGGCTAAGGGAGGGTTCGGACTTCGCCGCCGACTCTTTTCACCACCACGGCTGTGCTCAATGGGCGGCCAGGCTGACCCATGTAGTGCTTTTTGCTGGGCGCAGCCAGCACTTTGCACGGTGAAGCACTACCGTAGGTCAGCCGCCCCCGATCTATCGTTGTGGCGGGCCCAGCGTCACCTGCCAGCTCCGACCACGACGACGAAGACCACGACGACGAACGCGACCCAGGCCACACAGCTTCGCGTCCCGCGCCCCCCGGTGATCTCCGCGCCGTCCCGAGGGCACATCTGAGACAGGCAGCTCTCCAGCCTGGGCCGCGGGGCGCCAAGCGCGATCATGTCAGCGCCCCTGGGAGTGACCTCAGAAGAAGGACACAACTCCATGAACATACGTTCTCGAAGATCCGCGCGGATGTCTTGGACCCGCACCGCCGACCCGAGTGTGTATGCTCCGAATGTGTATGCTCATGCTGTTTTCGTGCCTTCGAGACCTGCGGGTGCACTAGGGTCGCCCATGATCAGAATCCCCACCCAATGAGCCCCAGGCCTCAGGCGTCCTGGGAAAGCCCAAACCGAAGTGTTTCACTCTCTTCGGAGTCCGGAGGCCGCTTTCGGGCTCGGGGCCTGTCTCTGCGACGGGTTGGTTGAGAGTTCGAGGGACCCTGTGCTGCCAGAAACCATGACGCTGGACGTCTGGGACCCCTCCCCCCTCCATGGTCGCTCAGAGAGGGCCAGAAACAGTAGGGATAGTGGGTCTTTTCTGAAGGTGTATCAGACCAAACCACCCAGATCTATTATCCCTAATGCGAGGTTGGGGACCTTAGTGAGGCCACGTCTTCATCGTGTTGTTAGGGTCAGGGAATCCTTTCTTCTGGATGAGAGGGGGGAAGGGGGCACTGACGGGTCCTGGTCCCTTCTGAGCCCTGGGCCGACCAGGTAGCCGTGGTACAACCAGCTGTAGTGGACGTGCGCGAAGACCGCGATCATGACGTAGCCCATCAAGCCACCGATGAGGAACATGGACGCCCTGATGGCGCTGGAGATTTCGAACTGCTCTGGCGGGAGCATCTCGGGGCAGATGGCCTCGATCGTCACGTCGAGGAGCCCCTCGCCCACGCGCCAGACAAGCAGGCCGATGCCGAAGGCCCAGAAGTGCCCGCGTGGCGCCGCCCAGTGGCAAGCGAAGATGCCCGCGGCGGCAACCATGACACCGAGCCGTATGAAAAGTCGCCGGCCGAGCGCGTGAGACTTCATGGACACCTGGTCCCCAAGGAGCCCGAACAGCGGCGTCAGCAGTATGCTCGCTCCGTATATCAGCTTCGCGATGCCCATGAACAGTGCCTGGTTGTCCCTCCACAGCTCGGCACCCTCCATGGCAAGCAGGTAAGGTAACCAGGTGGCGCTCAGGAAGCCTGTGTAGAAACGGTATATGGTCAGGCCCCCGATCGCCCAAAGGGGCCTTGGGGAGCATGTGACTTCCTCCGTGGGAGGTGGGTTGTACTGCAGGGCATCCTTGCTGACATCCCCCGCATCCTTCTTTGCGCTATCCTTCGCGGCGTCGCATGTAGCCAAGCTGGCCAGGATTGACCAAACCCTCCTGAAGTCGCCAAGACTGCATGTTACCCACGCCAGGAACACGGACCCAAGCACGACTGTCAACACCAAATTGGTGCCATTGCTCCGCTTCTCGACGAGCTCGTATTTGGCCGGCTTCTCAATCTTGTAGATATGGTGCCCGTGGCTGGCGTTGGAGAACGCTGTAACAGCGGGAGGATGTCCGACTTTCTGCAACAATTTAACCACCTTGCCAGAGATTCCGTGCCATCAGCAGTGGCCGGTGATTAGGCGTCACGTTTCGGAAATGAAGCTTCGCTTAGTGAGCGCATCGCAATAAACGTTGGCCTCGCCTCGAATCTGAAACAACCAACGACCATGTCACCTCCCCGCTCCTTTGCCACCTTGCTCAACCCCTCCTCCTCACACGAGCGTCTTCTCCGTCCTCCCTCCTCTTCTTTCCTCCTCATATTCCTCCCCCTGTAGTGTGCTGTACTCCGCGAAAGAATTCGTCGATGCAGAACTCCCCTAACAAAGCAAGCCCAAGGAGGCCTAGCCGTTTTGGGCCGACGAAACACCTTGGGTCAACAAACCCTCCGGAACAGGCAGTTCCAGGTCATATCGTGACAAGAGCTGGGCAGGGCACCGTCCCTTTCCCCACGAGCCATGAAACAACGTGTCATCACTCGTCCCCTCCCTCGTAACCTGCACTCCCTTGCGCGCCGCACACACAGTGGAGAAGACGTCGGAAGGGGGGACGGCGAAAACTGGCCAGACACCGTCCAGCCCTTGTGCTATTTCGCCCAGCTGGGAAACCGACATATGAGGAATCTCGAGCGTTGTTGCTTCAAGCCTTTCGTGGGGGAGTGCCCACGACATTGGGCAAACAAGAGCGGACGCCTGACCATGCGCTACCACCGCAACTCACGCAACTGAAAGTCCACCCAGCACCACCAACCCCCCCATCCCCGGTCCGATACGAAAGCCCTCGCATTGCAAAGGCTGCGCCCGTGGAACACCATGAGGAGCACCGTCTCGCCCAGGGTTTCAAGGGCCGCTTAGCGCCAACTTGGGCGGTCCCCAGACTGACTGACACCTTCACCGCACTTCTAAGGCGCGGCGCGATTGGCCTGACAGTAGGGATCATGTCTGGTGCTCGCGTCAACCTGCGACGCGCCAGGCCATAGTCGGGGGCCTTCGGGACACCCGACGAGTCCGCCCAACCTCGATCGGCCACGATTGCAGTTTGCATGCCAGCCGTTCTCGCCAGCTCAGCTTATGTCAACGCTGAAACGTTTGAACACTTGTCTCTTGCACTGTATACAACACATCACTCCGCTTTGCGAAGCGTTCAGCATGATGTTGCCAAGCGTTTCGACACTCCATTGAGAGCATTGCACCCACTTGCGTGGCCTTTGGTCCTGTCGGCAAGCTGTCCTCCTCAAACGTATGCCAGACTCTGGCCCACGCGTGGGCCGCTGGGTCTTGAAGGCGTGCCTGTGTCCAGGAGCACGGCGCAAATCCATCCGTTCGGCAGCTTTGGCGACGATAATTTCAGACTTTGCGACTTCCGCCCGACACAGAGGATGCCCTGCCGCAAAAGCGGCAAATATCGGCCTGCGCCAGACCGGGTCACGCGCGGGTCCAAATGGGGAAAACACGTTGTCGGCCCTGCGTCGCGCATCGCGCTCGGCTAGTCCCCTTGCCACCACGGAGGCCAGAAACTACAGGTCGACCAACTGCCCGTCGCAATCGATGAGAGAGCGCGCGCCAGCGCGGGCCCCAGCCCAACCCGACAAGAGTGAGACGGTAGGCGCGTGCAAGAGATGCGCCAGCAAGCCAAGGGACGTTGGCTCCGCGCAGCTTCCCGGCCGAAAGCTGGAACACGACTTGGATAAAAGTGTGCCCTGGTGCGACGCTCGAAGAATATGTCGCAGGGGTCACATTGGCCCCCCATTGGAAACGACCTAGCCCTGGGCGAGGGTCGAGCCCCTGATGTACCTCTGGAGAAACACCGAACAGCAGCCAGCCACGCACTGGTATCTGTCTCCTAGTAGGTCCAACAACCGCAGACTCCCAAAGCCCGCCAACTTGTCGGCCCGCTCTCTGCATGTCAGATCCGCACTGGCATTCGAGTCGGGCAACGTAAGGGAACTTTTGGAAGTTCTGATGGGTCAAGAAATCGGCATGCGACACATATTATTAGCAGCCGCCTCGCATCCTAGACACGACTGGCATCTTCCCTTGAAGCTGCAGCTCAGACCAGGCATATGTCAACCTGCGCGCCAATGAAGATCGAGGAATCACGAACATCATCGCCTCACCTGATATTGCCGACAGTTCAAGCTTGCCAAACCCTTCTTTCAACTCCACCACCGCTCTTCCAAGCTTACTACATCTGCTGCCAACTGCCCTCGAAGCCTGGAAGGGGACCTCGCCCGCGCTATGCCTGAACGTGATCGAGGGCACATGGCGGAGAGATAACGTGAGGGCCGATGCAGGACTGACCTGGCAATGGTCGCTGCCGGACAACATCCAACAAAACATACTCCTTCGCGCGCGCGCAAACGAGCGCGCGCAGCACCCGTGGCAAAAATAACAGGCGGCCCAGCACATGGCGTCAAGGCCGCCCTGGCCAACCCAAGATGCACGCCGGTGGCCTGGGCCTCCTTCCTGGAACAACGTGCCAGGCGCAACTCCCATGGGGCCCGTCAGAACCCGAAGGCGAACTGGCCGAATCGAGCTTCGTCCAACATTGGGCGTTGCCATCGAGCCCCGTCGCGTTTCTCGCCGCCCGCGCCCCAGGACAGACAAACAAACAAACGCTCGACGATCGAACTGCAAGGCACGCGCTTCGCGATGTCACGCCCTGGCCCAAACCGAATCGCGCGAACGATGAGTGCTGGCGGGCGCATTCCAGCACCCTCAGACTTGCCCAGAAAGACGATGAGCCTGGCGCTCTCGCAGGGCAGCTCAAGATCCCCCCCCCCCACCCCCCCCAAGAGCATCGGAAAGATCAACGACGCTGCACAGAAACTCCGCGGGAAGCAGAGGCCAACTTGGCGGGCTGACGCCGTCGAGCCGCGCCCCGCCTCGCGCTTGGGCCGCGCGAAGGCCAATCGAACAACCTCGGGAGAAGGCCCCTACAACGCCCCAGCCTGGCTGGCCAATATTTGATGAGCAAGCGACAAACAGCGCCTGCGACGCATGGAATACCTGCCCAAATGCCCCAGCCAAGACGCAACGGCAAGGACACTCCGCAGCGACCGCCGTTCGACGCATGGCGGCCCGGCTGCGGGGGCTCGACCTTCGCGAAAACCGCGGGCCGCTCGCCCGCCCGTCGCAACTGGGCCTGGTGCCCACTCCTTCCGCGAGTTCCGGGCCATCTTGTCAGGGGCCGATTGAGCGGTCGGATCGACGCGCCCGAGTTCGGGCCCACTCTCTTCTTCGATCACATCCACTAACTCAAGCAGGCCCGGGGGGGAGCTCGAGATCTGCGCCGGAGAACCCCCCAGTCCAACGAACCGCCGATGTCTCCGCGGCTGAACGGAAGAGCACCCGAGCAAGGGGCGCCGCGATTGAACGCCACGCACGGAGGCAGAGGCGCATTCAAGAAGCAAGGGCCCACAAGCTTGCACCGATTACCCCCTGAGAGATCGAGCGCCCAGCAAAGCCCCATCACCACAAAACGCACCAAGTGGTCCCGGGCGTCAGGCAGATCCTGGTCATCAGTGCACCCCTACCCCTTAGACCAGCCACGCGCGGCGGGCGCCCTGGCGCGACCCGCGGAGACCTCGACAGGGGGCCCCCCCACTCGCATCCGACGCGAGTGGGCAACACAGGCGGGGCGCCTCGACTATCGAGCTCGACGGAGGCGCGCGGAATGATGCACGCGCGCCCCGCGACGGACTGCGATGGACTTCGCGCAGCGAACTAGGCCTCGAGACAACATGAAATAATCATGCGTCCCTTCCCAGCAAGGCAAGTGGCATCTTTGGGAGAAACTCCCCCGGCCCTCAACCGACTGCGCTGCCCTTGCAATCCGCTGCATCTCGGGCCTCGCGTCGCGCGACGGCGCCCAGGGGGCGGCGAGGCCCCCGGGGACCTCCCAGTCCAGCCAACCGGGCCGCGCCGCCCCCTGGGGCTCCCAGCGAACGACAGAAAAATGCGTAGCAAATGCTCTGCCTCTGGCTTCGGCGACAACCTCCGGCGTCGCGCGCTGGCTGGGGCGAGACCCGCCGCCCTGCGACGACCGCGGCCGAAGTCGAGGGCGCGCGGTCCCCCGTCGACGCTGCGTGACACAAATTAGCACCAAATCCTTTCTATCGTAGCAGACCTGATGACTGGCTCTAGTTTCTCGCCCGGCCCAGGAATGAGGCTTGGGCCGCCAAGGGCCTTCCATTCTCCTATCGAGGACGGTCTGGAAGAAACTCCAACTACGGGCGCTGCACTTGAGGAAACACCATGCCTGGCCCTCCGCGCACTGCAATCAATGCCACGCCCAGCGCCTGGCGGCGGCGAGCGCGAACTTTCATCGCGCAGTTCTGTCTCGGGGCGCCCAGCAAGTGACGACGCCGCCGAACTCCGCCCCTGCTAGGTGGGCCGCGGGATGCTAGCGTTGGCCCCGCTGCGTCCAGCGCGCGGCGCCACTGGCTCAAGGTCAGCTCAGCAGGCAATGGCCAATGGGCGCCAGCACTGACCCCGCCCACCCGGTGTTCGCGAGGCGAATCGAATCACATTTGCTGGGGGGCACCGCGCACAGCTACTACGCCCACCAAAAGGAGTCAGTTAAACAAACAGATCCAACCCGAAACCTGATCCTGATGCCAATCAATGCAGCAATTGGAACTCGCGGGGTCAAACACGCTTCCGCGCACACCCCATGGCGGCGATGTGCTTCTCGAAGATTCTCTCTGCCACCGTGGAACCTCTGTTGCACGCCGGCATGCTGGTCTTTGGTGGCTGCCTTTGCCTCGGCCACCGACGCGGAGGCTCCAGCAAACTTGGCGGTGCCGTCCACGTCGCCGAGCGCCTCGAAGTGCGCTGTTCCTGCCGTGTCGTCCTTCTGCTGTTTGGATAAGTTTTTGGAGCCGTCGGTGGCCGTTGCGAACGGATGTTCCTCCAACTTGAGTGAGGCACCTGAGCCCTGGGCGAAAGAGTCATCTGCCTATTTCTCAAGTCTCCGCTTGCCCCTTGAACTCTGCCAACGCACCTCCTGCAGGTTGATCTCGAACTTGAAACCCGTGTCCTAGGCACGACCAGCCTATCCGAGATAGGGCGCTGCCGGACAGGTCAGGGTATGGGTTCCTGCACAACGCGTTGGTACTTCTCCACCTGTTGCTCTGCCATCTGCGCTAAATTGCTATATGGTTGGCGAGACGAGCAACCGTTCGGTCAATGCGCAAGGTGCTCCTCGATCTCATTCGTATCATCACCTTCTTCCGGATGCGTTTCCTTCGCCGCCTCCTTCGCCGCCGTAGCCCGTGGCGGCGGAGATGATGAAGATTGTTGCCCGGGCCCACTGAGCCTTTTGTGGATCGACTTGAGCGCGCTATCTCCCCATCGCGGACTGCCATTGTTCCGCTTGCCTTGCGGCCAGCGAGCCTGTCCACCACCACCAGAGACGAGTTTCTCGCGCGCCTTCTTTGCAGCATTGCCGACATCAGGCGGGGCCTGGCAACTGTAGGCGCACTTGCTCCGACGCCCACTTGCCCCTCTTGTGACATCTCGTGCCTGTCCAGTGCGGCTGCTCACTGCAAAGTGAGACATCCGTACCGCGACCAGACATCGCGCGAAGGAGGATGTCCCTCAACCTGAAAGCCAGGGGCGAGGCTGACCACGAAAGCCTTCCCGGCAAGGGTGTGAATCTGCGCTGGGCGCCCCCGTGAAGTCTGTCGCCCAGCAGGGGAAGCCAGAACTCGAAACCACGCGACGCGGGTTTCGAGCTTGAGCTTAAATGGTTCGAGACAGAATGGCTCTGGACATGTTCTTTTTCCCCTTCTCTTCCTCATTCCTCATCAGTCCTCTCCCTCTTCCCTTCATCCTCTTCGTCACCCCTCTTCCCTCCAGCCTCCAGCCTCCTCTTCCTCTCCCCCTCCACCCCTGTTCATTACAGATGCCTCCTCTCCGTCGCATCCCCCAACGTGTTTGCAGGGCGGGACGCTTCCCCGCCATGCGCAGTTCCTGAAGCTTGGGTTTCTCAAGAGTTGCCCGGATGGAGCGCAGCTTGTTCTCGAAGTTGGGGCTCTCACCGCAGCGCCGCGCGCATCCGTCTTCACACCTCAACTACAGGGATGGAGCGCAGGTGGTGTTCAACACAGGGCTCTCGCGTCATGACCGCGCACCTTCGTTTCACACATTGCAACAATAACGAGGGCGGAGGCACGTGGGGCTCTCGCCTCAGCGCCGCGCACATTCATTCGTCTTTGATAATGCTTTCGACCACTACCAGGCTGGAGACGACTCCTTGTCAAAATGGCGCCCTCGCCTTGGCGCCGCGAACATTCGCCTGAAGGGCTTGCAATCGCGACAGGGACTGAGCACAGGTGGTTTTCAAGATGGGGCTCCCGCAGCTCGCATCAGCGCCGCGCTCATTCCCATGACGAGTGCGCGCCAGCTACGGGTGAGGACGACGGCGAGTGTTTGAAATGGGGCTCTCGCCCAAGATCACCTGAAATTTGCAGATCACCCCTTCAACATCAACGATAACGATAACGATAACAACGATAACGATCAATGACAACGATCAATGCTTTTCTCCTGCTGTACTCGCTGGAAGTACGTGACACCTTCAACATCTGTAACCGCTGCACGGATGAAAGGCGACTCCTTTTCATAAAAAGGGCCCTCGCACGAGACCTCCTCAAGGGTCCAGGCCAAGAGCGCAGTCTTGAGCAGCCATTGCACGGCTGCGGGGCGGTTCTTTTTCAGAATGGGGGGCATCGCTCGGCACCTCCTCGAACTCATGATCCTCCCATGATCATTCCTTCTCGCATCCCTGAATACGTTCTAGCAGGAAGCAAGACAATCCTTTTCCACAACAGAGCTCTCGCCTGACTGGCAGGACTACAGGGTGGTGGTTTTCCACATAGACGCTTGAGTGAAAATCAAGGCCTGTAGAGACGCATGAGGGGACGTAGGATGGGATGGTGTACCGCAGCACCACTGATACATCTTGGGTCTAGTCAGGTCCTCCTCTCCCGCGGCCCGCACGCTTGTCCAAGATCCTCCGACAAACCCCGCGCTCACCTCCGCTCCTCCACTCCCCTCCGCCCTCCCCCTCCTGACTTCGGACACCGCCTAGCGTCTCGAAAACTAAATCTACGGATAGTGCTTCTCCATGTTCGCCCTCCGGGGGCCCTTCCCGTGATCAAGGACCGTCAAACACAAGCTGCGAAGCAAAAAACATACACAACGTCGAGAGTCTGACTAGGTGGCGACATCCGAACCCTACCCCACCAACCATCGATGCTTCCGAATCCGATGGGGTCGATTCTCCTGAATTGATGGGAGGTGGGGGTAGGATTCGGATTTCGCAACGTGTTCGGCGAATTCGGAACACTACCCTCGCCGCCAATCGAGCCCTGAATCGTTGGTCGGCGAAGGTAGGGTTCGGATTTCGCCGCCGACCGAGTCCAAATTTGGATCAACACTGGGCTCCGACCTTGGCACGAGTCTTGGACCGGTGGGCCGACCTGCCCTGCTCGGCGCCGGCCTCGATCAGCTCCGCCTGCAAGACGGGGAGGAAGGGGGGGGAGGGGAATCGCTGTCGTCTCCTGCCTCTGCGGCAACCAGCAGACACAACAAGAGCATGAGTTGTCGGAGGTCCGCGCAGAGTTCATGGGGCGGCGCTGGACCTCCCTGCCCGGGCGCCGGCGCAAAGGCTCCGCGCAGATCTCCGAGAGTTCGTGCTCATGTCGCTCTGTGTTATTCTTGAGTCGGGCGTGTCCCTCTACAGGAGGAATACTCCCAAATAGACATGAAATAGTCTGGTGACGATTGTGCGATGATTGTTCGAAAATTTGGAGCATTTTTGAGAGATTACTTATTTTTCGTCCACGCTTCGCTCCTCACTTCTCCCTCCGCATCCCTTATGGCTCGGGGAAGTCCCAAGAACTCGGGGGTCTCAGGCCCGGCAGCCGCAGAGAGCCCTCGCGGCCACTCGAGCTCACGCTCCGTTTGTGTTGGAGGCCTCTGGATTGTTGTGCCGACTCGGCAGGTTGGGCTTGCCAGATGCTGAGGCGGAGCTCTCCCTCCCTGCCCCGCGCGTCACGCACACCGTGGCCGCCAGGACCCGCCGTTTCCTGGGCGGTCCCAGGGGAGTCCAGTCTCACATCGCGGCCGCGAGGGTCAAAGATTCCGCCAGATGGCTCCCATGGAGTCCCGCAGCAGGTGCAACCGTGCAAGCACAGTAGTAATTCCAGGTGCAAGTGCAGGTGAAGTCACCCCATCTGTCCACGTCGTCACACCCCACTGCCACCTTCGACCTTGGCCTCCGCTTCCAACACTTCCCTGCGTGTATCAATTCAGTCGAGCGCGCACGCTTCATGGCGGGCGCATACTTCTCTCGGTGGTGATTGCTCGAAGCAGAAGAAGTCTCGGTCTCTATCTCGAGGAGGGACAGAGGCGATGCCGCCGCCACCGTCTCCTGCCTGCAGCAGTGGCCGTGCCAGGTCGGGCCACGACTCCTGGCACCTGGGCGAGGCGCTCATGAAAGATCCACATCGCCGAACAAGTGGCACCGCCCATGCAGATTTGTGCCGCATAACGTGCTGAAATTGCAGGCGCGTGTGGTGCCCCTTTCTACAGGCCCCCGCGGCTGGGATGGTGCCGGCTCCCCTCAGGATCGAGCTCGCCAGCGGGCGTTGCCCTTCGGTTGCGGTGCCCCTCTCCAAGGCTGCTCGAGCAGGACCGAGGGTCACGCGGCAGCTGCTGTTGGCGCGAGAAGCACCTCATTTGGGCGTGCCCGGTGGTCCGCGAGCTCGTCGATCTCAGGCGCAACGCCGCCGGAACCTCACCTTGCCAGGGCCCTGTCCTGGAAGAAGCACGAACAACATAAACATAACCTCGAAAAGGTCCGTGTGGATTTCTTCGATCGTTGCTGAATCCCCTCCCTGGCGCGCGGAGCGCGCCAGTGGCGGCGCTGGAGGCGCCGCTGGGGGGGCCCATCGCGGACCCAGCGCTGGCAGCGGGGCCCAGCGCGGCGCTCCGAACATGTCTGTCTGGGCCTCTTTCTTGTGCGATGCCCACCCGGGGGCTTTCCCGAAGCTGGAGGTCGTGGCCCAGCACACTCGTGGGAACCGCGCGTTTATACACCCTGCGAAATGCTTAAGAAATCATGGGTTAAGAAATTCATAATCTCAGAATTGGAGTAAAAACTGCAAGTTCCTACCAAATTCTTAGGATTTACATTGAAACAGTAAGAATAATCGAGACTCTGGCCGAAAACTTACGTTTTCTTAAGCATCGCCTAAGGTGTACACCGGGCATCCGGGCCCTGTCCCGTGGGGCTTCCGCAGAAATCCGACAGGACAACGTATAGTGTAGAATCTTCTGGCCAGTTCTCCGGGCGACATGTGTTGACAACTATGCAAATATGTGTGTATATATACACAGTGCGTTTGGGCCGCCATTTGTCACTGAGTGGCGGACAATCCCGAGGTAGTAATGACATATTCATAGCCCCGAACTCATGCGACGTCTGAGACTGACGAGGGAGGCGTGTACTCCACGGTGGCGCTAGACCACCCTAACGTAACCCGAAGGCCCAAATTTCGGGTTGGGGGGGCGGCGGTACGGGTTCCACAAGTTTTGTTTACCTGTTCCCCGACGCCCCCACCACTGGGAACGAAAGGCAAATGGGAACCTTGGGGTTGGTTTGGGGTGGTTTGGTGGGTGGTGTCAGATGGGGTCAGAGCAGAAATGGCTGGGTATTGTGCCGCATCGTCGATGCACCACCGTTGCATCGGCGACGTCGGCGAGGACGTCGGCGTGGAGACAATCGTGCTCAACATCGAGCCGCATCGTCGATGCATGAGCGATGCGGTGCAATTGTCCAACCCCCATCTACTTCGACCCCACCTGGGAGGCCTGATTTGTTACAGAGAGGGCTTGAACACGCATGCCAGTAACAGCAGTGAGATGCAGCAGAGGGCCAGGCCCAGACGGTGGATGCGGACGGCACCTGCGGCTGTCAAGCCTGCACATATGGGCTGGAAGTGGCCGCGGCCCAGGACGAGGAGAACCGCGGATGCATCATCATTAGCCTGCTACTGGGCGTCAGACTACTGGGGCTCCCAATCAGCGAAGAGCAAACTCAGGAAGAACTACCTTCTGAGAAAAACACCGACCCAAGCCAACAACAAATCCAAAGGAAGTACTACCAAGGAACGAATGTTAGCCTGCGTAGGCCCTAAACAGAATGTATTCTCACGTGGTGCAATCTATTCCTAGCCATAAGAGTATATAGGACGGGGGACCCCGGAAAAGAAAGAGAGAACAAAAAAAAAAAAAACACCACACACACACACCGCCCAACAAATTTGCCCACCCTGGGCCTCTCGGGCAACCCGCCAGACGACCCGGGAGAACCCCACGAGAGCCCGAAGACGGCCCCTGAGGGCTCCAAGCGTTCCGGCGCACCTCCGAAACAACCCCAAAGAGCCCCAAGATGGTCCACGACGACCCCGAGAAAACCGTCATACCCCCAAAGATCGATCCAAAGCATCCCAAGAGGCCCCAAGAAGCAACATTGATTACTTTCTGTTGGTTCTAAATGAATTTTGGGGTTCTCCTCTTTTCGGCTTCCCGACGTTCCACGACGGCGGTCTTCTGAGCGTCCGAAGCCGCCTGGGAGGCTCGAAAATCGCCCCACAACCATCCGAAAGCGCTTCCAGGCAGTCCAAGAGAGCCCCCAGACGGCACAACAGGGTTCCAAGATGGCCTGAGAGAGCCCCATGCCGCCCCAAGATGGCAGGGTGGCCGGAAGAAGCCCCCAGAGGCTCCCAGGCGACGCCCAGGAGGCCTCCAGAAGGCCTTAAGAAAGCATGAACAATTGTTGTGAGGCCCCAAAACGCTCTCCAAGGAGGAGCCTCCGCAAAGACAGTTCAAGAAGATGGGGGGAACATGCAAAATATGACGAAAACGGTGAACAATAAACATGGAAGAAAAAAACGTTTAACATTACTGTAACATCGATACCGGAATAATGCAACAAGGACTTATCGCTAAGTTGAATTGTCGGCTTTGACCTTCCTGCCATCCCACCAGCATGCCAAACTGCAACGACCAAGGTGCATGGCGCGAGGCGGCAAAACAATCTGGTGAATATATATATATATATATATATATATATACACATATATTTATATATACATACATACATACATACATACATACACATATATAAATATACATACATGCATGTACATACATATATATATATATATATATATATATAATGAAGGGGGAACCGTCATTCAGTATCCCTGGGTGCGTGGCTGAAATGAGAATCCGTGGGGAAGATTGTGTTTGTTGCGAGGCTAGTGTTGTTGTTGTTGTTGTTGTTGTTGTTGTTGTTGTTGCTGTTTGTTGTCGTCGTCCCACCCCGCGACCAACCCCGCGACCCACCCCGCGACCAACCCCGCGACCCACCCCGCGGCCCACCCGCGACCCAACCCGCGACCCACCCGCGACCCACCCCGCGACCCACCCGCGACCCACCCGCGACCCACCCCGCGACCCACCCGCGACCCACCCTGCGACCCACCCGCGACCCACCCGCGACCCACCCGCGAACCACTTGCGACCCACCCGCGACCCACCCCGCGACCCACCCGCGATCCACCCCGTTATCAACCTGCGACACACCCGCGACACACCCGCGACCGATCCTCATTGGCTTGAAGAAAAAAAGCGGCACCTGCTGCGGACTCGTTGTCTAATTTGTGAAACTTTGGCGCCTGCGGCGGGCTTCTCCGGAGTCTCGCAGACTGCCGACGTCCCCACCGCCCCTTCCCTGTTATCCGCATCTGCGGGGTGCTACGTGTGTGTATGTATGTATGTATGTGTATATATATATATAGAGAGAGAGAGAGAAAGAGAGAGAGAGAGAGAGAGTCATGTGCAGCTCTCTGTGGTGCTACGCATGTAGTGCAAATCTACGTGGTGCAATTCATTTTGCCGAACTTGACGCTGCCAATTCCAGCGTTTGCGTAAACATCCCACCCACCCACCCGCAACTCGGTTTGGAAACCCATGCGGCGGCGATTGCGATGAGTGCGTGGTGTTGGCTGGTGCATCTCTGCGGCCGCGTTGGCCCGCCCATGCTCGCGCGCGCAGCGGCCAGCTAGTTTGGCGCGACCGACGCTGCCTCGGTGGCGCTGACCGCTCGGCACATCCCAGCGGGCACGTCAGTGCGAGTCGGCGACTCGGGCGGGCGCGGTACAATTGCGACGTTGCCAACAGTAGGCACGATGATGATAATAGTGGTGCTGGTGACGATGATGACAGCCATTGACGGCGCCGATGCTGACCACGCCGGCGACGATGACGGCCTCCTCGCGTCGGTGATGAAGGCTTTGTAAAAAGTTCGACGTGCGCGCGCGGCCGACGCGCGAGAGTAACCCGCATGGTATTATTTGACGCGGACCAATCCCCTCCAGCACGCGCGCCAAGGCGTTCGAATGATTTCGGCATGCGGCGCGAGTGGCTCGTTTGGCCGATTTCAAT